TGGGTTTTCTGCACTTTATACTGTTTGAAAACCCTTGGATTTTCAGAATGATACACTAGCAAGGGTTTAATTTTCAAATCGCCACTCGCATTTGAACACAGCACAAGCGTAAACCTATCTTTCATAGGCTTGTGTCCAGGCAAGGATTTTTCCTCCTTGGTAATGTATGTCCTCTTAGGCATTCTTTTCCAAAACAGTCCTGTTTCGTCACAATTAAACACTTGTTGCGGTAGGTATCCCTCAGCCTCTGCAAACTCTTTAAATTCGTCAATAAATCGTCCAGCGGCTGGTTTGTCTGAGCTGGTTGCCTCCCCATGCCTTGTAACACTATGGATACCACTTCTCTTTCTAAATTTTTCAAACCAGCCCCTGCTTGCCTTAAACTCTTTCGTATCTGCATCACTCATTGCAGGGGTATTCTTTAGAAGGTCTTCGTGCAACACCCTGGCTTTCTCACAAATAATGGCCTCCGAAACACTATCACCCCTCAACTCCTTGTCGTGTATCCAAATTAATAACAACTTTTCCACTTCTTCAAGTATTTGTGGTCTTTGTGTCGTTAATGTTCTTACTCCTTTTGCCACTTTAGCACCCATAATCTCATTTTTCTTCTTAAGTATAGTGCATATTGTTGATGTGGCTTTGTTGTACTGCCTACAAAGTTCAACAACATGTGTACCGTTCTCATGCTTCCGAATGATCTCTTGTTTCTCCTCTATTGTCATCCTCACATGAGCTTTCTGGCCTTTATCCTTACCACTGGCTTTCTTGGGACCCATGGTGAGATATATAATAACAAATTGTATAGACAAATCACCAAAAATCCAACAAAACACTGAAAATCCGCGAGAAGAATTGATGTGGGGGTAGTCACTGAGCGCGAGACAATGGTAAACTGAGGGGCGGCGGGGCAGAAGGGCGACGATCGCCGAACCACCACGCGCTAGGTCGGCCTGTACGCGTATCAACAAACTCGCGTCCCGAGGTAACCCTTGCCTTCCGAGACAAATTTTTGGAGTAAATACTGCTCGTCTTCCGAAAAACTCGCATACAGGGACACTCGCATTCCGAGGTACCACTGTAATCTGTTTTGATTCCCTTCTCTTTCTGGGTGTAATGGCCAGATGACAAACTTTACATTTAAAGTGTTCATATGCCATTGCTGCCTGCAACTCTCTGAGGGAGCCAGGTTCTGGCTCGTGGTCCCATACATGGACTCTGCTACTGATGACACTTGAGTATTACGGCACTTGATCAGTAAAATAGCTTCAGGGATCCAAAAGGGCTCCCCATAGAAAAGTTCTGGTAATCCAAGGTGAATCCAAGAGAAAATAGGCAAGCAAAGGTTTAAAAGAGAGAGGCACAGAAGTTTTTTTAAATTATGGAATATCCCTCAGAGCAGTCAAACCCCACAGGGATCAGAAAGACCCCAGGACTTCCGAAGGAAGGGGGCACACCCAACCATGCCCAAAACCAACCAAAATGCAAAGTCTGTGTAAAGCAGTGGGAAGAAGAATGAAAACCACAAATTCAAAGAGAAGAGGAGGGGGACAAAAGTCACCAGAAAGCTTGGGAATTCCTCCAGAAACCCCTGAAAGGGAGACTGGGAAGGCCAAAAAGGTATTGACACTCCCCACCGCACAACCAAAGGGCCGAACTGTAAAAGGGCAGGAGGGAGGAAATTCCCAGAAAGGTGGTCGTCTTCTAGGCCAACCGAAATCCCACAAGAGACCTTTCTTGACTACACAGGTGACACTCCTCCACCCTGGGAATGGAAGGGTCTAATCCTTGGCAAGTATGGGCCACAACGCAAACCACGCAAGGAAAAAACACCAACCGGGTATGGAACTTGTAAACAGCCACCGTTGAAGCTAGAGAAGGGCAAGACTGACAATCATGTACAATAAAATCACATTAATTTGATGTATCAATGAGAAAATCAGTAGGAGCCATGAGAAGGATTTGAACCTACACACTTGGTACTCCTAAGCCCATGCCCCTAGACCACTACACCATGACATGGTCTAAAGCAATGTAACTGGGGATTCAAATGACTCCTCTAGGGGTCATGAGGCTTTCACTGGGCTTGAGAGTACCAAGTGTGGGGGTTCAAATCATTCTCATGGTTCCTACTAATTTTCTCATTTATACATCATGTTAATGTGATTTCATTGAGAATTTGAAGAGGAGCGTTGAAGGTAGAACTCCTAGACAATGACCAGAGAGCATGGGGGCAATGTGAAACCCTGATTTAGGCTTCAGTTGGAAGCCTCAGGACCCCTAGAGGAATCAGTTGAATCCTAGGTTGCATTGCCTTTGACCATGTCATGGTGTAGTGGTCTAAGGCGTTTACTTGTGAGTACTCAGAGCATAGGTTCAAATCCTCCCATGGCTCCTACTGATTTTCTCATTATATATTTTGTCATTACTACATAGTGATAAATGTGAAGTTATGAGAAGTTAACTGTTAACTGAGTTTGGAGCTTAGCAGGAAAATTCAGTTGGTTTTTTATTATCTGGTTCCCACAAATATTTGCTGGATGTCGAGATATTTTTTATTGCCGACATATATATAGAGAGCATCCAAAGGGAAATGAGAGGCAAAATGGATACATTCTTGCTATAAACTGTACTGTCAAATATCTAACCAAGTGCTTTGTTATGAATATACTGTAATATTTTGGTTTATCTTGGCTGTCAGTAAAGGAAGGAGCAGAGAGCTTTGAACAGTTAGTTGCATTTTCTGCAAATCTCCAAGGGTCACAGACATCATTTTGTGTTTTGTGTGTGATTATTCTTATTAAAACAGTAAGCATTTTTGCACATGTAAGTTGGTGCCGAGTGTGAGACCTAATACAGTGGTTATGTTGGAGACAGATGTTTAAATGGGTGTGGATTTTTCCTCTATACAATTCAAGTATATAAATGACTAAATACACTACAATTTTTTAAGCAAGAAACTGCTCCAATATTGTGAATTTCCAATAAAATTGTACTTAACCACTGCACTGCACAGAACGCCTTGAGGAGCTTGATCGGGGGCAGGTGTTCACATTAGTTTCCTCAGGGCTCTCATAAACAGACATATGCCTTTTTTTTTAATTTTGGGCAACATTCCATGGTGTGAGCTTCAGTACTGAGTGAGCAACTAAGGCTGGTGCATGCAGTATGAGCTAACAGCACTACTATTCAGCTTGTGACCACAGAATTTCCTAAAAAAGTCAAAATATATATGTAACCGGTATTATTTAGCCATGATAGTATTACAGAAGAGTCTGACTGATAAATACTTTATACAATGTTCAGATATCAGTGAATCAATGCTGTCTAAGATGTTCACAGTGCTAGCCACTGCACACTGCCATTATTTTGTCCATCTAAGAATCTTCAAACAACTTCCCATATTCCTTTACAAAATAAACTTATGGAAAATTATTCATTTACAGGATTTAGTGACCAGTATTCTGATAACTGCAGCATTGTGGTGAGAATTAGCGATGTGTGTAGTATGGTGCGAGGAGTAATCTTGGTGAGGGAGGGAAAGGTGGCGTCGTCTACTGACTGGTGTGTGGCGACCTGTTATTATCTGGACTCACTATACCAGCTTAGTGGTTCACTATGGTGATTACAATTGTAGATACTTATATATAACGTGTGTGTATATAGTTTATTAGGGAATACAGTATAGTGAATTGTGTATATGTGTTGGGCTCCTCCCAACAGCAAAACGGAGTCTGTTGGGAGGAGCCATTTTGTTGAGGGAGGTGGCATCGTTTGCAGCTGCTGTGTCTCTTGTCATGCAATTTTGTTGTGGCCACTATGTTGTTTGGACACCATAACAGTTTAGTTGTACAGTTATGGTGAATAAAACATGTAGGTACTTATATATAATGTATGTATATAGTGTAAAAACAGCAGAAACAGTATAGTAGGAGGAGGAATGTTGGCGAGTGAGGGAGGGAGCATCAGCTGACTGTGTGGTGACCTCAATTATTGTCTTGACTCACCATATCAGCTTAGAGGTTCACTAAGGTGAACACAAATGTGGATACTTATATATAACATCTCTATATATTGAAATAACAACAAAAGGAATATGTTGGGAGGAACCATTTTGGTGAAGGTGGTGTTGGTGAGGAAGTGAGTGAGGCTGTCGTCTGCTAGCTGCTGTGTGACTTGTCATGCAGTGTATAATGGCCACTATCCTGTTTGGACACCATACCAGCTTAGTTGTATAGTTATGGTGAATAAAACATGTACTTATATATCACATGTGTAAATAGTGTAATAAAAACAATAATAGTATGGTGGGAGGAGGAATGTTGGCGAGTGGTGTTGAAGGAGGGAGGAAGGAAGGTGGCATCTGCTAACTGCTGTGTCGTGGCCACTCTTCTTATTTTGACTCACCATACCAACTTTGTGGTTCATTATGGTGAACACATATGTAGATAGGTATATACAATGTGGGTATATAGTGTAATAACAGCAAAAACACTGTTTGATTGATCGTAGAATATAATATATAAATGTCACATATATGAGGCCCATAATTTTGAGCACGGCGATGTTCCACACATTGAACTATATAAATTCCATAAATTACACACTTTTGAATAATATTGCAGCAAAAACACAAAGAAACGAATAAGAAACATTAAAATAATTGTGAAACATTATATTTGCGGCAACTGCCACCCCGCAGGGTGGCGGGGTCAAGTGACTCTGAATGCTCCATCGCTCAGCCCCCATAATTTGCTCACTTCCCAGCTCCATCACAGCTAAAGTATGTCACATACAATTTTTTTTAAGTTTCCCATGATCACAGACTGCATTTTAACAATATAAAAAGAGAGAATAACTTTTTGGAAAGAATTTATTTTCAGTGCACCATGGGGTTGTCATATTTTAATGCAGAGCAGTGCAGTGGTTAATATAAATTTATCAAGGTGTGACCTGATTGTTAACAACGAATTCCTACCCAGGATCATTCAATGATGTACCTGCCCTGATGAGTATTTGTGCAAGAAATAGATGGCCACTTAGAACTGCATGGTGGAGAGCACACTGTCCTTCATTATCCCGGTGATCCAATGATACACCTGCTTTGGCCAAAATTTTCACAATCTGTGCATGTCCAGCCTGAGCTGCATGAAGCAAAGGAGTACGTCCATCTTTGGCACACACATCAGGAGGAGCACGAAGTCGGAGCAGGACACCAACGGTGGAGACATGTCCGGCTCCTGCAGCAATGTGTAATGCTGTGCATCCTCTAGGATCAGCCTGAGTGAGAGAAGCTCCATGTCTCACCATTACTGTCAGAGCAGAGTCTGCACCACTTGCTGCAGCCCACAAAAGGGCTGTATGGCCTTCATTTGTGGGGTCATCTCGAACACAAGGTCGCCTTACCAGCTGCAATGATACAAAAATAGAGTACTGAGTGTAATTTAATGCCTCATTCTGGGCAGCTCCTCAATAGCTCCACTGAACTTATGGTACTGGCTCACTAGGCATATTGAGTATACCAGAATCCAATGGCTTCTCTTGACACACTGAGGACAAGCAACTTTTCAAACTGTAGTGTCCTCTCTGCTGGGTGAGGTAAGCATGTTGATTATAGATCAACCCACTATTGGGGTAAACCTCCTTTTAAAAGTTGAAAATCAAGTCACAAAATACTCAACCTCCAAGCAAAGTTTGGCAACACCATGGAAAACTCTGAAAACCTTAACTATGTAACTATTTAGCAGAGGAAACAGTTTTCTTGGAAAGAAATATCAGAGCAAAACTGGGTGTTGGCTTCTTTCTACTTGGTTAATGTCCCTCAGCCATACCATACTTATGAGACACTTGGGCATTTTTCACAGAGTTTATGTTCTTCTGATATGAGCCCTCCTCTCCTGCTATCTTCTGCCATGGGCAAGCCCAGCTCATCTTTTCTGCTTTATTAATCTGAGATCCCAAAATCATAGGCCCAGTCCTTCCACCCAAAAATTAGAAGAATTCCTCACAAGCAACCTACATAACAACCTGTACATTTGAACCATCCTACCTAAGAGCATTGGACATACAGCCCAATTGGCCTAGAGTAAACAGCCCAACACATCTTAAAAAAGTTGAATCCCCGATTTGTATGATGGCAAATAAAAGCTCTTATCACTGAACCACAGGTGAGGGTCTTAGTACTTCACCAACACTGACCAGTTTTGCAATAAACACAGAATTAGGCCAACAGCAAGCATGAAACCCTGGCATAGAGCTGCCAAAACCCCACATCTTTGACCAGGTAGCGCACAGCCAGGACCCTGTTCGACCACCAAAAACTCTGCGCCCGAATGTCAGCCCACGACATGTTACCAAAGAAAGCGACAAGAGCAGCAAACTTACAAATGCCGTGGGCATGGGGATAGACCGCAGGCTGGCAAAACTGAATAATTCTGCAATCGACCTGGGAGACCTGAACCCTGGAACAGGGAAGAAGGGAAACAGGATCAACTCAAAGCGCGTCCCCGGACACAAGCCGTGGTGTGCAAATAACGGCAGAGCCCCGCAACCGGACACAACACATGATGCACCCCCAGCCTGACCAACCAAGCATTCATAACCCAAGGACCCCTCCAGAAAGCAGCCATCTCATTCTTTGCCAGAAAAGGAGACGGCTGCAAATGAACAAACCTATCACCAGATCCAAACGATCACAAACTCCTGCGCCAGAGGAGAGCATGAAGCTCCCCGACCCGAGCCCCCCAGAGGCCAATGCCAACAGGAAGAGAGCCTTAGAGAAACAGTCCAGAACTGAAGGGCCACAACAAACCGAGAAGACAGAAAAGAGAACACTTTGTTCAAAGACCAGGATGGCTTAGGCGGCACATGAATAGGCCAGAGGTAAAACAACACCCGAGACAGCTTGCGAAATGGTGCAGAAGTAACATCAATACTGAAAGTAAGTTGCAGCGGCTCTGCGAACGCCTCACGATATGAGGCGTATTTGGCATAAGATGACAGTTCTGAAACAACTACGAGAGAAAAGACAAAACAACCTTAACAGAAAGGGAAGTACAGTACACCGACGAAAGAAACAGAAGGACCACCAGGAAATTTCAGACTGCCGCTGAGACAAAGCCCGCAGGTAGGACGCCATCAAAGAAGCCACCTGATCACCATACAGATGGTGATAAGACTCGAGTCAAGAAGACCAGACACGAAGACTCGAGCAGAAGATCGAACCAGTCTCATAACGGAATGGACCGATCTGCTGAAAGAGGCGGAGCCACGGGAAAACCTCTGGATTCAAACACCGAGCAAGCAGCGCCTGAAACCAAGGCTGGGCCAGCCACCATGGGGCCATGAGGACTACTTTCCCATGGTAAGTCTCCAAGCAAGCTAGGACCTGGAGCAACAGTTGAACTGGGGGAAAGAGGTACAGGAACCCCCACCTCGACCAGTCCTGTCTGAAGGCATCGATCTTGACAGCCTCGCAGTTGGGGAAGGGAATATACCAGAAGTATAGGTGGACCTCTTTGCCTGACAGCTGGGTGGACAGAGCTTCAGATTCGTAGTCCTGAGGTTCCGGGTTCGATCTCCGGTGCAGGCGGAGACAAATGGGCAAAATGTTTCTTTCACCCTGATGCCCCTGTTACCTAGCAGTAAACAGATACCTGGGAGTTAGACAGCTGCTACGGGCTGCTTCCTGGGAGTGGAGGCCTGGTCGAGGACACTAAAGCCCCGAAATCATCAAGATAACCTCAAGATAAGACCATGCTGATGCAAAGAGGTCCACCTCCAGGCGCCCAAACGTCTGGCAGAGCCAACTGAATGAGTCGGCATCGACCGTCCATTCCATGGACAGGGGGATGAACTGGGACCGGCCGTCCGCCAGGACGTTGGAAATCCCCTCCAGACATAAACAGCCAGGAGAGCCAAACTCCAAGAACTCAGCAGACGAGTCACCTGAAGCGACCAGCCCCATAGAGCGAAGGACCGCATCGAACCCCCTCGGTTCAGGCAATGAACCACCGGGCAGCAGTCCGAATGCAGCCGGATCAATAATCCGCGACCGACCCGAACCCTCGAGGCGAAAATCACACTGCTGCGAACTCCTGTATCGTGCTGTGGGCCCGAGGGAAGGATGGACCGCACCGCTGCTGGCCCGACTGATGAGCACTAGTCACAAAGCCCCAGCCAAAAGATGACACGTCCGTGAACACACTGAGCGAGGGCTCGGGTAGGCGCCAAGGCACTGAACCCACATAAACCCGAAGAGGAAGCCGGCAACACGGCAGCCAACACAAGACCCTCAGAGGCCAAACCCAGCGATCGTGAGAGAGGCGGAAGGGACGTCCCCAAAGGAACCAGAACAGCCGACGAAAACAAACTCGAATCGGCAGATAGACCATCATCGCAAAGTTCAGGTTCCTGCACAAACCTTCGAGCACTCGCCGGGTGACTCGGGAGCCCCAGAAACAAGCAAAGGCTGGACTGCAGCCGAAGGAGAGACTCCGGAGGAAGAGACAAGGAAGCGGTCTGAGAGTCCCACACAAGCCAGAGCCAAGTCTGAACCTGAGAGAGGACCAGATGGGACTTCCTCCCATTCACCAGGAACCTGAACCCGCCGAGCTGGGAAAGAACGAAATCCCTGGCGAGCAGACGCTCTCATGAAGTGGGAGTCCAGACCAGCCAGTTGTCGAGGTAGGCCAACACCCAAACACCTAAAAGGCGCAGAGGGGCCACCATGACCCGGGCAAGACGTGTGAACACGCGAGGTGCCAGGTTCAACCTGAACGAGAGACAACGAAAGTGGTAACCGAGATGCACCCACAACAAACCCGAGCCAGTCCCTGAACCCTGGATGAATCGGGACGTGCCAATATGCATTTTTGAGGTTGGGACCATCCAAGTGACCTCACCAAAGACTACCTAAGAAAACAAGGGGACATACCCGGGAGGCGGTTGGTGAACCACACCTCAACACGAAGTTGAGACAACCCAAGGACCCCTCCGGAAGGCAGCAGGCACATCATTCGCCAGAAAAAAGGGAGAACGGCTGCAGACGAAGAGACCTATGACCACGACCACAGGAGCCAAAAACCACTGCACCTGAGAAGAGCATGAAGCTCTGCCACACGACCCCCAGAGGCCAACGCCAAAATAAAAAGAGCCGAGGCAAAGCAACCTGAACCGAAAGAGCCACAACAACCAAGGAGAAGAAAAACAGGAGAGCACCCGGTCCAAAGACCAGAACGGCACAGGCAGTGCATGAGCAGGCCGGAGGTGAAACAACGCACGACAGCCTGCGAAACGGCGCAGAAGGAACATTGATGCCGAAAGCTAGCAGCAGAAACCAAGGTGCCAAACCCAAGAACGGCCCCAAGCGCCTCTACATCCTCCGCAAGCCAATCCTATGACAGCCCCAGGAGGGAAAAAAAAACGCAGGACCAAAACCAAAACTCCACAAGCGTGCAAGTCCACCGCCACAAGTGCAACCGACAGGGAAGGAACCCGCATAAGGAGCCGCTCCGCACCAACATCCCGCAGAAGGGCAGGAGCGAAAAGACTCATTAAGAGGAGCAAAATTGCCCCCAGGAAAACGAGTAGCGCCGAGACAGCGCTAAGAGAAGAGATATGGACAAAAAAACAAGGCCAAACACCCAGAAGCTGCCTGGAATAGGACCCAGAAGCCTTAGAAAGGACCGGAGGGAAGCTCAACCGAATGACGACAGACGTACCAGAAAACGGGAAGGAGCAAAACCGTCCCGAACCCTCGAGAACAAAAAGAAGCAAACACAAAGGACGAAGGCACAAAAACCCCGTCGCACCCGAGACCAAAAGTCATGCAGAAACCCCAAGAAGAGGGGGACATGACGGAGAAGGCCTGTCCTGGAAAAAAAGGGGCAAAGACAGTAGAAAAGCACCCACCGACAGGACGGAAGCAACGGGCACAATGGACAAGGAAACCGAGCCCAGGGAGGGGCCAACGCCCACAAAGCAAGTGCGGAAAGGGGGAATGGAAAAACCCCCACACCACAAAACCGCAAGCCCCGCCCAGAGGGGTAGAAATACCCCGGCGAGGACCAACGGGGCCTGAGGCCCCTCACGTTAGCCCCCCCCCAGCCCTGGGAACCCATCCTGCAGGCCCCGGGGCCGAGCTGACCCCCCAAAGTCCCAGCGTCAAGAGCAACCCCGGGGCAGCTGTGAAAAACACTAAGGAAGGGAGCCCACTAGGCTCTGGAACTTGAGCCGAAACCGGAGGATAGGCGAGGGGCGAGACGAAGACCCCAAGTTCATCCCCAGCCAGCACAACGAGGCGAGGACAACGAGGACAAGACAGAGAATCCAAGGAACATGGAAAAACCAGACCCAGCACAGCAAGACCGGCAAGGAAGGAGGGCCCCAGAAGGAGCACGGAAGGAGGG